ATGTTTGAGCATTTGTCGAATAGGAAGTTATGAAATTAGGAACATAGCATGTTTGGCTCGATAAAAGATAGAATATGGTCATTAGGAACGAATAAAGAATGAGTCCGATAAGGGCCTTAGCTTAACCTATAATCGTCGTTGCTGTCCCCAGATATCGTGGCGCCAAGCCTGGTGTGGCACCCGGGCCGGTCGGACGCCGCCATCCGCACTGCTGCCCTCGCTCTGCTGCTGGCCGAACTACAAGTACCAGAGCTGGCCGCCGCGGAGCTGACGGCCGACCATGAGAAGCTGCTCACAGCCGTGGTTGGTGCGTACGGTGGTCGGAGTGTGGCCCGGGCAGGGACGACGATGGAATATGTATCATGGGGATATTGGGATTTGTTCGATAGTTTGCCGAGTCTGGTATTTGTCAATATCAAAGCCGTGCCATGCTGTGCATGTCTGGAAGCCGATTGCACCGTGTTAAAGTGTCTGACTCTCAAACAGAGTGGCCACTCGATGAATGACTAAAATGTACTCACTCTGTCCATTTCAGGTCTTTTGGAGGACGAGAGCCGCAAGACCCGTCTGTTCTGCGCCCGTGCTATCCGCTCGCTGTTATTACTAACCCTGCCCGGGTCGCTGCCGGTGCAGCTGCTCCACAACACTGCCACTGGTCAGTAGGTGACACACGGGTGCGGTAGCACACCGGTTAACGCCGGGAATATACGGCGTTGTCCTGGCATGTGCTCTTATCATGTTAATACAGGTCGGTCGGAGATTTATGATGTTATCCCACTTGATTACTTACCTTTATGAGAAATTTTACGTTAACCTTTGGTAATGTCCCGAATGAATTACTGTGTGACGTACATTTTACGTCATAATTTTAATGTAAATGTCTATCATTCAGACAATGTTTTATCCCTGTATTGGCTCCCTGCCGTCCCCAGAGCTGCTGAAGCGGCTGGACGACACTGACGGCGAGGTACGGCTGTGCGCGGCCGGCGCGGTGCCGGCCCTGGTCACCGCTCTGGGACCCGACTACTGCGGCCAGCAGTGGCGCGGGCACGTCGAACACTTTGCGCAGACGCTGTTCGTCTTCCTGGATGACGCCGACGAGAGACTACAGCAGCTGGCGTACGGTGAGTGAGCTGCAGGTTCAGCCTGCGATGTTGGTGTAAATTATGGGAGGGTTCGCTCCGCAGTTGGTTGGGTGCTGCTTTGAGGAGTCTGGTGTTTCAGAACAAAGTGAAGTATGAGTTGAGTGTTGTGTATTGGGAAGTGCCTTCTGGCGTCAACATTGCAATCTTACCAGGAAGTTTGTCACTGCCATGTTTTCTCGATTGTGCTTTTCCGCTTCCTTTCGTTGTCCGCTGTTGACGGTGTGTTTCGGCGTGTGTCCGGCAGAGGCGCTGCTGTCGGTGGGCCGTCTGAACGCGGCGGTGGTGTGTGAACAGACCAACGTACACCGGGACAAACAGCGCAGTCCGGCGCGCTGTGACCAGCTGCTGCGCGCGCTGACACCGGCCGGCGCGGGGGGACAGTGACCGGGCCCGGCGGCCGGCGCGGGGGGAGAGTGACCCGATCCGGCGGCCGGCGGGGAGGGACAGTGACCCGACCCGGTGGCTGGAGTGGACTGAGGGAGAGAGTGGTGATTAGAGCCCAGTAAAATCACCAGGGCGATGACTGTCGCTGTCGGTCGGAAAAATGTCCGATAGTCAGCGGGCCGAGGCTGTCCATTCCGTCAAACAACCGTTCCGCCTGAGCTGCCGCCGCTCGGTAGCTTCCATCCGTCCATTGTATCTCCGCCCGGCCGGCGATATCCACTAGTCAGACAAGTAGCAATAAACAAACACTGCCGAACAGTCGGCGTTGCAGCCTGCAGGCCGCGTGCACTCCGCTCTTACGCTCGACCGTCGACGTCACATGTGTCAGTGACGTGTGTGCGCCGAGCTGGACACGGGCCAGAGATCGCTTCCAGTGTGCTCGCCCGTCACGCGGACTAGTGTGGTGTTCTGCAGTTTTGCCGGTGCTGTTTTATGTCCAGTTGGTGAGTCCGGCAACGCTGCGAGCATGTTTAGGTACGTTTTACAGTTCAGTGATATTTTCATTGTGTATTATTTATACGCCATTCATCATTAAATGTTTGATTCGTGAGCGAATGTTTGGAAAGAGAAGGTGTTTTCAAGTGAAAGTAACGACACTGGGATCGTAATTAATCAGCACATCTGCTCTCTTATAGTAAAGAAGAGGCAAAGAGTCAAGCCAAGAGTGGCGCTGTCCAAGCTGACGGAACGATGGTAATGAGGTGCATGGATACGTTTGAATTCAAAGTGCAAGAATCTTTAGGCGGTATTGTATTGCAAATCGTGTGTTCTTAGGGCAGACCAGTGAGAGGGTAAAGCCCGAACATAATTTGGCAAAACCAAAGGAATAAAGAAATGACATTCGTGACAGGATACGTCAAGATTGCTTGGCTTTACCAAGATTACTTTACTACTCGGCTTTACTGCTAAGTCGCCACCTAAAAGTTAGAAGCAATATGGCAGCTTTATTACGATGCAATATTAGCGCAGTAGTGACAAAACATTTTATTCTATTTATAGTTTGCTTTGCGCACAAATCACTATCCGCAGCTTCTAATGGTCATCTTTCGTCATCATCAGAAAACACATGAATATGATTTGCGTATTTCTGCTCTTAATGTATTCTTAGAACCACAGATAACAGTAGTACTGGATTGGAAACAGGATTCCGTGGCTGCAGTAAGAGGCCGAAAACAGAACCGAATATTTCGTGCCCAGACTTCGATATCTTCTCACACAGGCAAACAAAAAATTGGTTTATGTGAATGAAACTCATTAAGAAGCAATCTAGCCGTGCTCGTGTTTAGTGCTGCATTTTTGCATAATGGCAATTTATTTTACTAAACATTGCTGGTTACACTTTCCTCGCCGTGGTGAGGGAACGTATGCCACTGATTTGATTATACTGATTTCCCACTCTCATCCACAAAAAGTACTTGTACATGGGAGTTTGATCTCTTTATTTACATGCTAATCGACACCAGTCCTGTCACAACAAACCATCCAAACGTCACAATTCAAACCAACGTCACAAAACACCCCTTCAAGTGTCACTTCGCTTCGCCTGCCCTCCCAATTTCATCAGCGACCTTACTTCCCCGCCTTACATCTTCTTGACCCTGCTGAGCTTTGGCCTCTTGTCGCTCCTCGATCGGGTTGCACCTGGGGTGCAACCGAATTGCCGCTGGGGTGTCTGCTTCCTGACTTTCGATGGACAGGCACGGTCTTGAGTGTCTGCCTCATTTATCAGTTACCATGTTTCCACACTTTCCAGCAAATAGATTGAAAACCGTCGCATACATCTCTGGAAGGAGGCTCCTAAGGACGTCGTGGCTATCATTGCAAACGACTTCCGGTCAGTTCGACATCCCGGTTTAGGACTATCTTCGTCACTTCTTGGTTGATCGCAGACCAGCAGCTGGTTCCTGTTAGCTTTCATCTTCGGCAGTTGCCTCCAAATATGGCAGATCCTCACGGTGAGGTCGATGTCTTCCTCGTCTTTCTCCAGTCGTACCTCCAGCGGCGTAGCCCCAAGATAGATCAGCAGGCTGGCGGAGGCACCGTACTTGTTACGCCTGGTGGCCGAGCGTGCCAAGGCGCCAGAGCTGTGTCCCAGGGAGGCCTTGGCGCTGTCATCCAGGTCCTCCATTTCAGTGGATTTCGCCACCGCGGCCACTGGCTCCTGGATGACAAGAGCACCATCCTGCTGTCGCTCCTGCTGTGATGCTGATGGTGCCATTCGGGCGGAGGCGTCGGCGGGGCTGAAACGTGACCAGTGACCACCATCTGAGGCCCTTAGTTCGACTTCGGAGTACCGCCTCATTCTCCAGGAACTGTCGGACACTCGACCAGTTGTAGTTGCCACCTGATAGCTGACATTGTCATTCGTTAAGAACGCATCGGTCTGGTCTTTCATAACCTGCTTCTGGTGTGAGTGGCGTGCGGATGCCATGGCTAGTTTCGCTGGCCGCTCGTGCACAGGGGGCATCGCGTAATCCACGCTGGTCAATACTGACAGGACTGCGCCGCTCTTGAGCCGACGGCGCTGTCTCTGCATGCCGGTGCGAAATGACCGATCATCTTCGAAATCTTCCTTTCTGAAATGCAGCTCACACATGCAGCGGAATAGTCCTGATTTCACTCAGCCCGGTCACGGTGACCCATGGCGCCAACCCACTGAGCCCGTAGAGATGTTTCGGTGAGAAAAGCGAATAGGTGGCATGTGAGACAGATTCTCCTGTTTTAATTTTTTGTTCCTCTTGGATCGTTGGGTTGTAGCCAGAACGGCAGGTTTTTACCGCTCATTCCCCTCCTCCATTGCTGATGTACAGTCCACAGCAGAAGTAATGTGGGGTTTCAGTCATGGGTATGTTCTGCTTCTGAAGCTTAGGAACGATTAGTCAGACTACAATGAAACTTTGAATGTAGCTTATATGTATCGTCACCCTTGCAGCTGCAACTTTAGCTATTGACATCTTCTTTTCGATCACTCCGCATTAAACAATCGCCAGTCAAAGCCAACCGTTGAGATTGGTAAAACCCTACATTACTTAAGCGGTGGGCTGTACCTATACGTATGTAAGGCTTTGCACCACACTTTGTTTTCAAAAGAAAACACCACGCATTGTGCACTCTAAATAATCAAATTAAAAGTGAAATACTTTAATTTTTTAAGCAAATGAAAGTAACATTGGTAGCTTCGATTTTAAATGTAAACGACAAAACACAAAAATGACGATTTCTTGCAATACACAACACACAAATTATCCACCCAGCAGCACGCGAGAATCCCATTTTGGCGCCGTCGCATAAAAACATTCGGCCTCTTACTGCAACTGCCAATATTCTGTTTCCAATCCAGTACTACTGTTATCTGTGTTAGAACATAACTAGCTTTCTTCCATTACCGATTTTCTTTTCGAAAAATTACCGCGCGCGCGCATTTTAGCATTGCTAAGTTATGTTCCAAGGGCTGTCAACGTAAATGTCAGGGCCCTATAAATGTAAGTGCTGTTAGTGTTATTTGTTTTGTAATGTCTTTTTTTTGTCTGAAGTGTTGTAAAATAACCATCATAAAAGGAAGGGGGTGAAATTCTCTTTTTGCACCCTAGGCTCTAAAATCATTAGAAACCACATACTGTCAAAAACAAACCTACTTAACGTAACCTCACCTTGCCAGAATCAGTTGTGTGCATGGGTGTGTCTCATAGATGTTTTGTGTGAAATGTATTATAAGTAATTGATGCGACAACGTCCAAAGATGCCCAACAACTATCTACGAAATGATATACACTCAACCCTGTTATTTGATTTAGGTACTTTTATTATAAGTTTACTACTAGGTATTACAATTAAAGGGACCCTCCCACCTTAACATTAGTTTTGAGTTGAGATAGCCAAGTTTGCGGCCAGGCTCAGAAACCACCATTTATCTTGGTCGCAACCCCCGCAGCTTTATGGTGTTCAAGAAATTTCTTCCCTTTACTTGCAGGGTGGGACCAGCGTGGTCCCTATCTCTTAACCATTACGGGAATCTGATGACGTCATCAGGCTTTCAAACGTCCGTTAAATGTTTGACTAAAACGTTTTGTAGCACGCGGTGGTATATGCTGCTTTGCGCGCAACAAATGCCGCACTTTCAAATAAAGTCGCTAGGAACAGCGGAGATCCCAAAAAGTAAACAAAAGTAAAAGTCTAATATCTTGAAAACCGGTGAATATTTTTCGATGAAATTTGGTAGATATTCGTTTTTGCTCTTTCTGAACCGAGCGACATCACTTTCATGCCAATTCATTAACTTTTTTTAAGGTGGGAGGGTCCCTTTAAAAGAAATATACCACTTTTAACATTGAGTTTTGAACTGGAATAGTAGTTTGTAGCTCGAGCTGACTAGCACAAATCAGGGGCTTTTATGCCCCAACAATCACCCTTAACCCTAGCCCCTAGGCAAATATATTCCATTCTTCATTCCGAAAAGAATGGTGCCTTGTAGAGGAAACTGAGGAATGTGTCACTTGTAGAAGAATGCAGCCACCTGTTGCAGAGGCTGAGGTCAGCCAATTAGCAAGCAGTTGAACTAAGCAATATGATTGGTCAATGCGTAATAAACTTCTGGGCCACCACTATTTAGTCTCTGCCAAAGATGGAACATAATGGTACTTGGGGTAATACTTGTCACAATTTTTGTGGAGAACCCCACAAATGTAATACAATACAATGTAATACAATACAATACAATAGTTCTTCGTATATGAAAAAGTTTTTAAAAATCCTTTTGTCAATATTAATTTTCTTTTCTTTTCTGATCATGTTATGCATAAAAATAAAACTAGCAAAAATTAAATTCAGATCAGTGGTATTTTTCCTGTAACAGGCCCATTAAGTGTCAATCACATTAAGAGATGACAACAATTTGTTATCAGCAATATTAAGTTATGATTTTAAAAGAACTTTTCAGGGGCTGCTTGCTTATACAGCACCTCAACATCATCTTTCTTTTTCTGTTTAGTGCCAAAATGAATGAACTATGCATAGAACAAGAATGTTATTCATCGGGCTCGGAAGGACTGGCCAGCAAAATCAAGGCCGTCTCGCAGCTGGTGAAGAGGCGGCGCCAGCAGGTCGCCCAGCGGAGGACCATGCTCCGTGAAGCTGTCCGCTCTCTACTGCAGCCGGTGGAGGCTGCTGTACCAGCGCCGGCCTCCCGTCTGCCCGGCCTGGTGGCCCGCACCGCCTGGCAGAGGCTCGTCTCGGAACGTTGGCTTGTTGCCACAGATTTGACCAATGAAACATCCACAGAGGTGGCACTGCCGCATCTGCTGGCCTGCGGCGGGTGGCACGGGCCCGTGGCGTACGAGTCTCGCCTGGCGGCCGCGCCGTTCGAGCTGAGCGCTCCGGCGCCGGCCGCCGGCCGCCTGTCGCCCGGAGCGACCGTGCGCCTCATAGCGGTGCTGGACGAGCCGCCCGTCTGCGGCGGGGGCTGTCGGCTGACGCTGACGCTGGCCTCCGGTCCGGAGGAGCCGCGGCCGGCCAGCGCCGCCGGCTTCTACCAGCTGCCGGCCGGCCGCGTGACGCTGACCGCCGACCAGCGGCTGGCGCGGCGACACTCCCTGTTCAGCGGTCCAGGTCCGGACGCGGAGGCCGACGTGCAGGCGCTGTGGGCGCTGTCGGGCCGGCCCCTGCGCCTCCGCCTGCCGCGGACGGCCCATCTGCACTTGCAGGCGGCCAGGCTGCGGCTCGAGCAGGATGCCTTCATACCTGTTCTGGCGGCGCTCACTCGAGCCGAGCCAGGTGACCCGCTGTTTGGCTGCCTGGTGCTGCTGGCCGAGGAAGCCGACAACCGAGAGGCCGCCGCCGGCGCGCTGACAGCCGCGCTCTGGAGCAGGACGGAGCGGCAGATGGCGCTGCTGCTGCACCATCTGCGGCGGCTTCTGGGGTCAGCGCTGGAACTGCAGCGGCGGCCGGAGCCGGAGCCGGAGCAGGGGCAGGAGCCGGGCGCCGCCGGCGCACAGCACCTGCGGCGCGCCCTGCTGGCACAACTGCAGTTCGCCGAGGCGCACATAGGTGACAGCACTGGTGGTGGTGCCGAGCGGCGCGCACTCCGACTCGGGGATGTGCACGTGCCGCTCTCAGAGTACGGCCGCTGGAGACGGCGGCTGGCCCAGCTGGAGTTGGAGGCTGCTATGTGTGCGCTGCAGCTGGCCGAGCGGCAGCCGGCCGCTCTGTGACGCTACTCCGCGGCTGGGCGGCACAGCTGACCATGGACACCCGCGGTGTGCTAGTGAAACCGCCTTGATGGCACACACCAGCTGTGCTTGACTCTAGCGATGTGCACTGTGAACGTTGTCTGTGACTGGTGTCGTGGTCTGCCTTGCGGTTGTCTTTCGCTCATGCAGTGATGGTTAAATGGACCGGGAGGATCGTTTAGCTGACAGTGTTTGTGGGATATCGCGTGTAACGGTTGGATAAGTGCTATAAATGCCCTGTCGGCTAGCCGCCGGCGGGCGTCCGAGCAATGACCGAGCGCCAGACAGTGATGTGTGTCAGTCCTTTCTCTGGCATTTCGACACTGCGCACTGGCGAAAAAAGTGTTTGTTGGTTATGTGAACGGCAATAACTTTTCCTTTGGTTCGTTGTATCTGGAACTCATCCCGTTCATTGGCTGTATGTGTGTGTGTGTATCCGGTAATGCTTTAGGAGCACAAATACCAGGCCGAGTCCAGTCAGCCTAGGCCAAGGCAGAACCAGAACCAGACCGTCAAACTTGTGATCATAGGCTGCTTTCTATAGAATAAAATAGCTAACCTTTATTGAGTGATTTGGTGTCTTTTACACTGGCCATCTGCAGTCCATGCACAGTGGCTTTGGGGAGCCAACCTGGATCTCTTCAGTCTTCACTGTGGCTCTGATGAGACTGAAGAGACATCACAAAAAGGTTGACCTGCAATGGCTGTTGGGGTGCATTAATGTCTATTTTTTTCTTCAAATAAAATATTTGTTTCCATCAACTAACTTTTCTCAGTCTCTTATGCTAAGTTATCTCCAGTTCTGCTTATGGAAATTTAATTGACCCACTCCCCCTGTAACCGGTTATCTGATGGCTACGCTACGAACTTCTCCCCCGAGTCCCGACGTCCAACACCTCTCCTTCCGGTATTGGCTCACTTTATCGACACGTCTTGCCGGCAGCGGTAGCGCTGCGCCGCCCGGCATGACGGCGCACAACCGGCCGCAGCGAGCCGCGCCGACCATCGACCTGATAACGACGGCCCCCGGCGGCGGCGGCGGCGGCGGCGGGCCGGCCGGGCAGTCCGCGCTCGGTCCCCGTCCGACTCACAGCGCCGCCGACCGCCCGCAGGCTGTTCCGCCTCGCCTCCGCCGCCGCCGCAGCAGCCATGATGATCAAAGGTACCGTGGTGGTGTACTCTATACCGGCGTGCCCGCACTGCCGCACGGCCAAGGCCACGCTGACCCAGCGCGGCCTACAGTACGTGGACGTGGACCTGGAGCGGTTTCCCCATCTGCGGCCCTGGCTGCGAGAGACGACCGGCAAGACCAGTGTGCCGCAGATCTTCTTCAACAGCAGACACATCGGCGGCAACAGCGAACTGCAGGACCTGGTGAGTTGGCCGGGCCGGGATCCAGGTGTGGGGTGAAAATCGCTTACTTGTTCAGTATGCGGGCGTTGTAAATGCATTATTCAGTAGCGCATTACGTATGTCGTTATGGCGCATCACGATAGCGCCTTACGCTTGTCGACAACTAAGCTTCGCTGATGCATAAGTACGTTCTATTTGTTTCTTTGCTTTTTTGCTCTAAGGTAAGATATTTTGTGGCATGCGAGAAAAAGTGAGTGTGCGTAACATTATCATGTCCAGGGGACATTATTCCTCAGTCGGCCACATATCCCAGTCCGTCTGCGCTCCATTTCCTTGTGTGCCTCTTATTAGACTGGCTGCTACCGACGGAGGGCAGCGGCTAGTGCCGTGATCGGCCTATTGCATTCAGCGGATATCGACAGCGGTCGAGGTCAACGCCCAACGGACGGGCTGCAAAATGCAGCGGTCACCGCAAGGCGCCGGGAACTAGCTTTCATTTGGTATCACATTGCCCAAACATAGAGCTTAAATTGCTCAAATGGATACGGCTACCGTTTCCAAATGGGAACTTGCATTTGTGATGCAAATTGTATTGGTTGCGTTGCATAATGCATATACGCTGCACTGCCGGTGTCATTCGTTACCACATCTGGAAGGCATTACCGCCAATGAAAGTGAGGGCATCGCAATGAACCGTGTTTTTGACTCATCGAACTTTCTACACGCCATTTGGAGAAACCCAACACGGTTGCAAGGTAGTTACTGCGCAATGTGCAATTAATAAGGCACCTCCCATTCGTGCACGTCACGTTTGTCGGGTTGGCATTTTCCCCCAGTGGGAAAGTCGGAGTTGTTTTGTCATGCTTCCTTTATCTTGTTTCTAGCGCATTCGCGCAGGTACTAGTGATTGTCTTCACAGTTCACGGTTGGTCTATCGTCTGCGAGTCATTATCATGTGCGTTCATTATCTGTGCGCATGGCACGTGGATTGCGCACTTTGGTCTTCGGTGGGGCGGCGCTCATCGCTCGTCTAGTCACCGTGACTAACCTGTTCGCGTACCCCGAAGGCCGTGACTGACCTACTCACGTGCCCGAACGCACTTGCACTCTCGACGTTCGATCCCAAGGCTGTTTCAAATGGGCTAGATTCCCTTACTTAGATATCGATTTCTGGCTGCGACATCGAGTGTCTTGAAGTGGGAGATGCGTCAAGTGCGTTTGAAACCCGAGTTGAAGTGTCCTGGGCCACATGACTTGCAAAGGCCCGCTGCCGGAATCACGTGGATCAGTGTCACGATTGCTTCCCGTGTCTCGCAGTCGAGTCGAATTATTCGGCGAAAGTTGCCGAATGCTGCTTTATTCAATTACATAATAGCAAGGCTATTATGTAATAGCATAATAGGATAAACAGGTTTTGGAGTTTCACTAATCCCCAATCGTTTTTTTATCATTCGATTATTTTATCGTCACATCGCCTATCGCCAATGCTGTACCTGACTACTGAATGACTAGATCAGACTACTGAATACCGGAGGGTTCCATTATCAGTAAATCCGCCGTTGTGCCGGGTGACATTCACCTACACCTGTTTGCCCACACAGGTGGACGACGCGAGTCAGTGGGAGCAGCTCGTCACCCTTCTGGAGCAGACCGAACTCAACCCGAGCGATGCCGGCGCGCCGCGAATTCCCAAACCGGAGGAGGCCGTCACCACATCGGCACCTGGTAAGTACGGCGCTAGAAGGTAACTGAGGAAAGCTATTGTCTTGGCAAGGCCATATATAGATTGTCTTGGTAGTTTTCGTAGTCCTGCAGTGGCTTCCGGCTTTTCTGCGAAAGACAAAACCCCTGAGCTTGTTAAGTTTTGATTGAGGTCTCGACGCTCCTTTGTCATGGCGTAACAATCGATGCTGAATGTGGCCTCCGCTCCGTATGAAGTATACCCCCAATTATTTACGTAAAAATGCCAGAACGGCTACCGACCGAGGTATGAATCATAAACCGGCTTATTGGATCAGATCGCGGCCGTTGCATGTGTGTTGTAACTGTTGTCCCCTCCCTAGCCCCACAAGTCCCCTGATGATGAACCGCGGTATCGGTCGGTCGCTCAAACAGAGTCTGTCGACTTTTGATTGTTCCCTTTATTTCTGTCACCCCTGTAACAGTGTTGATATTTAATGGTCCCTATATGTGCGTGGCCAGCGGTCATTCTGTCCACGTGGCGCTAAGCCATTGTCCCTTTCCCTCTGACGATTATGTTTGTGCGCCGCCAGCGGCCGTGCTGCCGGTCGAGTGTGAGAAGGACGAGCTGTCCCGTCTGGCCATCGACCTGCACGACCGGTCCAACCTCATCATGGACCACCGCGTCGGCCTCTTCACCAAGATCAGGGACTCCTTCTCCGGCGAGGCCTTCGTCAACTGGATGATCAAGGAGAAGGAGAGCGGTGAGATATGATGTCCGATTGTCCCTGTCTGTCGCTGGGCTAATGATTGAGACGGTGTTTGTAGTGGTTGTGAAGGTGATCCCCCCCCCCCCCCCCGAAGTCTCACAGTTGCTATGGTAACCAGGTTGCAGTTGTAATCGATAGACGGCATTGCTCTTTGTGTTTGTCCGGTAACGCCTTGCATGGTCGATGGTTCGGTAATTCCGGTGTGAGCACTGAGCAGTGTTGAAAGTTCTGTAGGAGACGATGCACACGCCCTACTTATGATATAGCCGCCACCAATGAAAATGGATCGGGTTTATGTGCTCAGTGTTCCAAGTCTTTGTGCCTTGTTCTGTTTCCATTTTTGTACTTAAATTGACGTTTAAAAAATGGTAATGTGATTCGTCATTATCCCGGTTCCCTTCCGCGTCACCGCAGACGAGGCGAGTGCCCTGGACATGGGCCAGCAGCTGATGGACAAACACTTCATCCAGAACGTCTCGGGCGGAGCCGACAGCACCAAGTTCGAGGGATCGGCCAAGGCCTTCTACAGGTCAGTCCAAACTCGCTCGCCGAGAAGACATTACGAACTTTCGGAGTGTGGTGCACTTTCACAGTTTGACCGCACGTTACGTAACTGTCCGGTGCTTCATCGATGGTTCCACCTAGCATTTATGGTCCGGAGACAATCCGATAAATCTTTTCGTAATGTCTCCCTAGGCTTTCTCTGATGTTTTTCTCATCCCTAGGATGACCGAGGACGACAACCAGGGCGCGCTGAACTCTGGCGAGACGGCCGGCTGCCCGCCGCTGCCGGCCGGAGAGCTGGCCGAGAACCTCCGAAAACTGATGCTCACCATGTACGCCGAAAACATCAGTCCCGACGGCAAGGTGGGCCACGGGAGAATGAGTTCGGAATTTCAGAAATTCAGAATTGCAGAACGAGTGCCTTACGATTGTTCATTCATATTAAACGGGATGAAATTACCATCCCAGATCAAACCTACGGAAAGCAGGTTGAGATGTCCCCTGGCGGCCAACTAACCAACTACCATTTCCCCCTCCCACCACCCCTGGCGGCCAGTCGGTGAACTACGCCGGCATCAAGGCCTCAGACAACTGGCGTAACTACGTGCGGATGGCGCGTGAGCTGCAGCGAGTCGACATCTTCGGCCTCAACCGCGAGGAGAAGCTGGCCTTCTTTATCAACGTGTACAACGCACTGGTTGTGCACGGCAACATCGCCACCGGCCACCCGACCAACGTGTGGCAGCGCTGGAAGGTAGGCGGCATGGCGGAGCAGATTAGGACGGGGAGGCCACTGTGGTGGGGTGGTTGATCGGGCGGGTGTGTGTGGGCTGGGATTTATGTGAGGAGTAACGCTACGGAGGTGGTATAGTGCGTCCGGGCGCGAGCAGGAAGATCGTAGTGGGGCGATAGCCAGCAATTCTTGAGCTGTGTGCATAGCAGGGTTGTGCTTGACTCATGAGTCGAGTCAGAAATTTGACTCAACTCTGACTCAAATGAGTCAGATTTGAGTCGAGTCGGATAAAATGCTGAGCTGTTGAGTTGAGTCAGAGTTGAGTCGGACAAAAATATTAAGGCGTTGAGTTGAGTCAGAGTTGAGTCAGTAAAATAACTTTTGACATTGAGTTGAGTCAAAAACATTTAGGAACATGAGTCAGCTGACTCATCTATCTAGAAACAATCTACATAAGCTTTTCATTCTCCCCCTGCTTAACAACTTAGGCCTGGCCCTGCTGCAGGATTTTTTTCACCCCCATCCCCCGCTCAACAACTTTTTTATCCGAGTCAATTTTGAGTCAACTGACTTGACTCAACAAAAATTTGAGTCAAGTTTGAGTCAACTCATATTTTCATTGAGCCGCTTGAGTCATGAGTTGAGTCAAGGGGATAAATCAGCTCCTTGTTTGAGTCAGAGTTGAGTCAGGGCTTTCTGAAGTTAAATGATGAGTCGAGTCGGCAAATTTTTTTGAGTCGAGCACAACCCTGGTGCATAGTTAGGCATTTTTACCGAGCTTTGGATATTTTCACCTCCCGTGGCATGCCTGACCTCCCGGCTCCCCACTGACTTTCCCCGTGCCCGGTCGGCAGTTCTTCAACAACACGGCCTACGTGCTGGGCGGCAGTCCGTTCACGCTGCAGGACATCGAGAACGGCGTGCTGCGCGCCAACAAGAAGGGAGTCGGCGCGCTCAGCCCCCAGTTCTCCAAGGCCGACCCGCGCCGGCGACTCTCGCTGGAGCGCGCCGAGCCCAGGATCCACTTCGCGCTCAACTGCGGCGCCAAGAGCTGCCCGCCCATCAAGACCTTCTCGGCCCAGGTGAGGGCGGCAAAGGGATGTGGGCGCAGGTGGCGGGCGCAGGTTGAAGGACATAGAAGGTGCTGGGATTTAGGCGGTATCTTTGTTTAGTTGTGAGTAATTAAGGATTTTTTAAAATCATTCGTGTCGCGAGTTAGATGTTAAACTTGTCGACATGGAAATGAAGACAGCTATCCATTGAATCAGTTATGCGCCGTCTCCTTAATCGTGCCATATAATTTATTATTTTGCAGACCATTGACAGTGAAACGGCACTGTGTACAGTTTGTACCCTGTTGTAGCTCTGGACTGACGTGTTCGTCTCCTACACATACTCCTACTGACCCTTCCCATGTCTGTCTCGTTGCGTCTCAGAACATCCAGTCAGAGCTGGACCTGGCCTCGGCCTCCTACCTAGAGACGGACGACGGTATTCGTCTGGAGCCGGCCAAGGGCGTGGTGCACCTCTCCACGCTGCTCAAGTGGTACCGCTCCGACTTCGGAGAGGACGACAAGGAGGTGAGCGTGCGCTGAAGGCCGGCGGAGATTTACCCACGATCCGGGAATCGGGTGGGACATTTAGATGGTACTTTTGGAGCGACGAGCGAATAAGCTCCGTTTGGGAGTAAATAATTCCTCTCAAAGTTCTGATCTGGATTCTGATCCGGCAACCGATATTTTGCTTCATTGTCGGCTTTTTTCCACGCATTGTTCCTGATCCAGAACTGAAAGCTGTGACATAATTGCCGACCCGTCTCCTCTACGTGCTGTCCTGAATCCTGAATTGTCGATCCGTCTAATTATTTACGTTTAGGTTATGAGCTGACTCCGTCCCGTCTTGCACAGGCTCTGACATAGGTGTAACATGATTACCGACCCGTCCCACCCCCCAGGTTCTGACGTGAGTGTAAAGTTAATGCCGACCGGTCCCGTCTCACAGGTTCTGACGTGGGTGCTGAAGCATCTCACTGGCAAGAAGGCTGAGCAGCTGAAGCAGATGCTGGACAGCGGCAACTTCAAGATCAACTACATCCCCTACGACTGGACCAATAACGCCAAGTAGGCGGCTGGCTCCTGGAGCGGTCTGCCTCGGCGGGAAGGCGCTCTTCTCCTCACAGCGGTGTCCAGAAAGGGTCAATCTAACCTCTGGAGAAGGCAGAGGGCATGGCTCTTCTGATTATCACCGTTGACTGCATGAGAGGGCAGACTCGGAGCAGGAATCGGCTATCGAGGTAGGTACCGTCTAGGCAGAACGGGGAGCTGTCCGAGCTGGGCTGGGACGGACGTTCTATATACCCTGCTGGGACGTGCCGCAGGGCCTATTTTAAGACAATTGGACTGGGGTGGCCAGGCAGTGGTGGCGCCCCTGTCTCTTGTGTGGGCGCCCCCCCCCCCCCAACTTTCAATTTTACTTTCAACCAACTTCACCCCATTGTTGCTTGTAGATAAATATAAATATCTCGCCACGCCACTGCCCCGAGACGCTGTCCAGATTTTGAATCGCTTATGGCTCTGTAGTCTGTACCTATGCCAAGAAAGATGCATTGCTAACCAGTGTTGTAGCTAGTTCATAGGCGGCGGAACGGGGGGGGGGGAACCTGGGCACCGTTCCCCCTTTGATTTTGGCATTAACCCTCGCCCGGCGAGGGGGGGGGTTGATGCAACCCCCCTAAGGTTTTTCGCAAATAACGTAAAAACGGCGGCGCATGGTGCCGTCAAATTTGGCATACCCTCTGGGGCAACATTTTCGCACCTTTCTTGAAAATTTGAAGTCCCAGTCTTTTCAGGTCAGGTCACCAGGTCACAAAAACCGGTACAAGGTCAGGGGAAAATTGGACTAGCTTAGCGGCAACTGAATTCCAGAGTTCGCTTAAATTGGCAACAAAGTATACCATTCGATGCGCACGGACGTCCTGAGTTCACTGGTGCGTTTATTTTTGCTCTATCTTTTTTAGGTAAAAAGTTATAAGCGAAAAACTTTTGACATGTTTTAGCAAATTTTTTGCACTCATATCCCCCAAAACCCCCCTAAATCTTGACTTAGAGTCACCAAACTTTTACAGGGGCGAGATCTCCTATGGATCCACCTACTCTGTAAATTTGGCGTTTCTAAGTGCCATAGGAGCCAACACAAATCTTGAAAATGATAGTTCTTATCTGAAATATATGCTCATTAGATATTCAAGTAGGTTGCTCCTAAATATTGTAGTTCTAGCTTCAAAAACATGGATGTTATGAATGTCGATAGGTTTCGCGAGGCTACACCGGCCGGATCGCCCACTGTGCAGTGGTGGTAGGGTGCCTCGTGGCGGTGGGGTGCACCAGAAACTTAGGGCGCCCCAGCACCAGCGGAACGTCACATTATGTGTTACGACGCCCCAGTAGTGGTACGGTGTCCCATCACCGTTCCGTGCTTCTATCCTCAGGATACAGAAATCCTTCTCCTCCACGCCGCAACCCCCCTCCGGGCTGGACAGGCAATTTTATCTCATGCAGGCTGCTCCCTTGGAGCGGCACCGCTGCTACCGAGGGAGCGCACCCCGTAGCCGGGTGCAGTGAGTGCCTTGGGGCTGGGAGGCCTGTCCTCTGGACGGGCTCAGCCCCGGCGACTCACTATAGGGTGCCTGCCCAGACCATGTGTCTCCCCCTATGTCCTATCAGCCTTCCGGCTCTGAAATGGTCTCATTGGACCGAAAGGGCCTAACCC